ACTGTCTCTTTCTTTCTCTGGGTTATAGAAAGGTAAAAGCATTTTACTCCAGGAAAAAGACATACTGCTACTAGCAAATCAATGTTTCATAATGGGGATGAGAATGCTATTAAGATTCGAAGGCAGCATTTTAAGAGGTCCCTCTTGTTTGCAGTTGGCAGAATATCAGCTGTTTCAATATAAGGGACAAATTGCAAAAGCCTAAACTAATTACCCCATCCTGCTTCTACTCAGTTCTTGCTCCCAAGTGCCTACTCCATTCTCTTGGAGGGAGACAATAAGCAGATGGATGTACGCAGGTGCATAGGACTTTCTGCAGCCACCAGCTCTGAGAGCAATTGGTCAATACCCTTGAAGCTAGTTAAAGTTTTAGTAAATGGTTCCAAACTCTAGCAGATGGTCTATTGGTCTCCTGGGCACTGTTCAACATCTATATGGATCCATATACGCAGCTGAAATTATAGGATTAGAGGACTGCCTTTATTTAATATTTCATGATTTTACTCTGTAGCTAGTTTTTTTTCTTCTTCAGAATTTGACATGGTTCTGTTTTTCTCCATGGGTAGAATGGCACAAGAGGCTTCTAGTTCATGTGGTTAATTCTTAGGAAGGATTTCAATATCTGCACTTTACAAATGAGAAAGCTGGTGGTTAATAGCTCCAGCCCACCAAGTAGCATAGGTACTACAGCGGCTCAGTTTATTTTCATCATTGTTATATATATATTTTTAGTTATTTGAAGGATGCCACAGCCCACATACGGAACTCAGAGGTCCATTTTAAGGAGTTGGTCATCTCCTTTTAACATGTGGGTTCTGGGAATCGTACTCAGATTGTTTCAGGCTTGGAAGCAAGTGCCTTTACCTCCTAAGACACCTCAACAGCCTGAGCTCAGTTTTAACATTGTTCTCTTAGACAGCAACAGCATTATCATTTCAAATACCTTATTTGAATGGGATACTTCTGATTTTTAAACCATGTTTCCTACAGGTGTTTTCTGACACTATGGAGTCAGCCTTGGGAAGCTGATTATGCCTGACAGATTATTTTTCATTTTCTTTTATCGAGTTTAGTACTTTTTACATGTCCATATGCCAGACATCTCTTTCTCAAATTTCCTACTTTTCTCCCCTCCTCCCATCACACACTTTCTAATATTATTTTCCTTAGTAAAAAGCTGCTTTTAAAAACTAATGTCCCTTGCTGCGGGCTTTGTTCGGTAAGGAAAGTGCCTGCTGCACAAGCATAATACCTTGAGTTCAAATCCCCAGCAACTGCATAAAAGCCCGGGGTGGCAGCATATAACAGCAATCTCAGCACCTGTGGAAGGAGCGGCAGCGACCTGAAGACCTCTTGTCTCTGACGGTCTGGCCAAAACGGAGAGCTCCACCCAGATTCAGTGAGAGACACTATACCAAAAACTAAGGTGTAGATCAATAAGGGGAAATACCTGATGCTAACCTCCAACCTCCATGCCCATGCATACACATGAACATAAATATATGGTCCCCACACACAATAAACACAGAAAGCTGTTGTCTTGCATAAATGCTGCTACATTTCCCTAGACTTCCATGGTTGTCTTATTTAATCAGAGTTTTGAGTTGGGGTTTTCACTAATCCTCGGTGAACGTGAATTATATTTCAGGCCCCTCACTTATTGGTGCGGTACCCACATTTACCTAATCGAGAGTCAGAGCCCTTAAGAAAGAAAGCATCACCGAGAAGTGATTTTTATTTTACGATGGGTGAGAGCCTATCGGTCTGGCTAGTGGGTGGGTCTATGAGCATTTTCCTCTTTTCAGGACACAGGACGAAAAATCAGAAACACGTATGTCATTCTTTCTTTGTGGGTACCTATGTACGTGTTTGTGTGTGAGCATGTGGAGACTGGAGGTTAGTGCTGGGTGTCTTTTTCTATCACTATCCATCTTTTTTAGGGAGGTAACATGGCCTTTTACTGAACCTGGATTACACCATATCAGCTGGGTTTACTGGCCAGTGAGGCCTTTAGAATCTGCCTGACTTTGTACACTCTACCTCCGCACCACGAGGGTTACTGATGCACAATGCAGGTAGTGGCCTGCTTGGCTCTTGCAAGCATGCTGGGGATCTAAGCTCATGCTCTCATGCTTGCTCAGTTAATATTTCATGCGCTTAGCCATCTCCCAATTCCTCAGCTTAAGCCATTCTTTTTTTTTTTTTTTGGTTTTTCGAGACAGGGTTTCTCTGTGTAGCTTTGCGCCTCTCCTGGAACTCACTTGGTAGCCCAGGCTGGCCTCGAACTCACAGAGATCCGCTTGGCTCTGCCTCCCGAGTGCTGGGATTAAAGGCGTGCGCCACCACCGCCTGGCGCTTAAGCCATTCTTAAACACGGGTTTCTGAATATTTACTTGAGAAATATCCACATGACATCAAATTACAAAGTGGTTCTCTTTTATCTCTGGTAATCAAGTAAGGTTTGTTTTCGCTTGAATGATTTTAATGGTGTAAACAAAGTCCAGGACCCTCCCCCTCCCAAAAAAAAACCAAAGTCATATATGAACAAGGAAGAAGCCTCATGAGAATGACAATGGAGTTTCTCGTTTTTCCACACTAAGCCATTAAGTGATTTTTCTTCTGACTTACGTTGGAATCCTAATCTCTAGTTAGGAGATAATCCCCAAGTAAGAGAAAATGATTTGTCAATAATTTCTTTACAAAGGTAATCAGTTGAAAGTAAAGCCATTAGGGAGAACCCTCGTCTAATATGACTTGTATGCTTAGAAACAGGAAGTGTTGGATGTTGGAGAAATACACCAGATAGTAAGGTACCTGCCTTGCATGCCCGAGTACTGGAGTTACATTCTTATCATCACATAAAAAGGATGGGTGTATGGTGCATGCTTGTAAGCCTTCCACTGAGGAGGTAAAGATAGATGGATCCCCGGGGCTTCCTGGCCAGCCAGCCTAGACTAATCCTTGAGCCACAAGTGCCAGTGAGAAACCCTGTCTCAACAAAGTGGACAGATCCTGAGAAACACCACCTGAGGCTGACCTCCACCCTACACACACACACACACACACACACACACACACACACACACACACACACACGGTGCGGGGGAGGGGTGCGGGGTGGATAGAAGTTTCTTAGCAGGTGGCTACAGGAAGCCTGCCTTGGGAACATGAAGGTGACCATCAACAAGATAAGGAAGGGCCGATCCTTTTCTCACAGCCCTCAGAAGGGACCAAACCTGCTGAAATAATCTTGCTCTTGGACCTCTGGCCTCCAGGACTGTGAGAAAGTAAAGTATCTAGTACTTTGTGATAGCAGTCCTTGCAAATTAATCCAGCTACCTGCTTCATTCCCTCCTCCCCCAGAAACACAGATTTTGAAACTCTTTGACTGTGCGTTATTGCTGAAGATAATACATATGTATGCATACACCAACTGTGTATTATTTGACTTCACAACTTCAGCGGGGGAAATATGAGCTGGTCGCTAAATGTCAGTGTCCTGGACTGCAGGATAAAATATATCCTAGGAGGTGACACTGAAAATCATTTGAAACAACCCTTACAGTTTATAATAAATAGAGAAAAGTAGACGTTACAGGCTTTTCACGGTTACTCCATTAGTTACTGGTGAAGGCGTATCATGTGATTCTCAGTCTTAGAATTTTTCTACTGTAACACAAAGGCACTCCGGACTAGTGGCCAAGAAGCGTATTTCAACAATAGTATTTTCCTTATTTTGCCATGTTAAAAAGATGTTTAGATAAAGTGTAAGTGGCAAACATCTGTAATCTCAGACCTAGGGAGGCAGAGACAGAGGCATACCTCCAGCCTGAGGGCATCCTAGACTATGTAGAAAATTCCAGACCTACACAAAGAGATCCTGTCTCAAAAAATTAGTTAATGAGTGAAATATTAAAAAAATAAAATGAAAAGGTGTTGAAGGTTAGTGTAAATGGACAAAAAGGTCACAAAGAATAATTTGCTCCCCTAAAACAGCATTTCAGAGTCCTTACATTTATGGATTCTTAATCACACTGCTGATATTTTTTCTGTTAATGGCAGACATGAGTGGCTCAATACTCAGGACTTGCAAAGATTAAGATTTTTCTTTGGAAGTCTGTATATCCAAGCAGAGAAAATTCTTCAGGAGGCCATTTCTGCTTTTGCCAATTTTCATTCATAGTTTGCATACATTACACTGCCAATAACTCAAATTAGCTTTAAAAACATTTTAGTTCAGTGAAAATGTTTATCGTGACTTTAATTACTCATTGATAGACTTTCTGTTGTTTCCTATGATCATTATTCTTTCGGAAGAGTGGATGTTCCCAGAGTGAACATGAAAAAGAGAGCTTTGAATCTTCTACCCTCAAAGATGAACCATTTTGAACTTTGAATTAAGAAGATAGAATTAAGATGAACCATTTTGAGGTACAAAACTCGGTAGATCCCAACTGGAAATAAAGAAAATCTTTCATCAGAGCTCTGATAGGATTGACTTGGCTGCTATGGAAGGTCTTCAGGATAATACTTGGAGCATCAAACAATTTTGGAAACTTTGTTATAGAGAAAACTCAAGTAATGGTTGGAATGGATTGAATGGGCTTTGCAATCCTGCCCATTCTAGAAGCTTATTCTTCTATGAACACAGCAATAATCTCATAAATCTGTTCTCCTCAACTAACTCAGGCATCACTTCATCACTTCTTGATATCACGTGTGTGTCATGTGTTATTTGATGTATTTAATTCACACACATTCCAGCAACAGCAACAGAAACATCAGTTTGCAGCTCATTGTAAGTTAAAACAGAAGTTCAGGTTAGAGTATTTTCTTTGCTATTCCACCTGTTAGTATGAAATCTTCTAGTTCTTACTATATTGAGTAGGATGGCAAATTGCAATCCAGAAGGAAAAATTTTAGCGGTTATGTTAATGCCTGAGATTCTGTTCTAAAGAGCTGAACGTACACAGTCCATCATGAAATAACCAGATACTAACCTCCTTCATTTTTTCCAGTTCATTCTGTAAGGCTTGCTTTGCAATTTCAACTTCTATAAGCTGCTGCCTCAGCTTCTCATTTTCATCTTCTGTTGTTGTCCTTTTTTCTTCCACATTTTCCAGTTCGTGGTGGAGTCTCACAGATACATCCTTTGCAACCTAAAATAATGTGTTTGCAGCAATAAAATATAGTTTTATTCCTATTGAAGGCATCAAGAGACAACATGTCCATAGTACATACTTTGTGGCAGTGTTCCCAATACCTGATCTAGAAGCCATTCATATATCAATCACTTAATCCTCACAACAATCCCACAGGATAGATGCTATTATTGTATCTGCTTTATAGAGGGAGAAATATCAGGTAAGATGTTCAAGGCTGTACAGCTAACAAATAGCCAGATGGCTGGCTCGACTTTATTCATTTAACTTCACTACATCATAGCAATATGTACTTTTTTCATGTTCACGTATAGATTTAACATATCTGCTTTAATTTTACAGTAAAACCATGAGCTATATGATTCCACTATTGCCCCCAATGAGAAATGGGGGGAAAATACATTTTTAACTACTGGGTAGTGGGACTTGCTTTTATTTCCCTTATAACTCTTAGCTAGTTCCAAGTATTTAAGATTAGCAAGCATTCCAGTCCTTGAGATTCTTTTTTTTTTTTAATACTAGTATATATTTTCACCCCAACTTTTGAGATTATCTTGGAAACTATAGAGTTTTGAAGGGATACAGAGCATTTAATGTAGAGGCTCAGGACAGAGCCAGTCCTGCTTTAGACTGGATGGAGGGAGTAACTGCCAAGCTTGTTATAAGGCCCTTTTTCAAATGGGTTACTGGGAGTTACAGAACTGGTGAGTGTAGATAGGCAAGGGCCCTAAGTGGAAACCTAGACTTTCCGAAAGAGACCTTACTATTTTCTCAATGCTTTCCTGTTGTGGATGTCAATGCTCCACAGTAACCCACATTGCTGCTCATGAATATCTGATTCCACCTGGCCTTCCCTGGGAATACATCATTGGAAGCCAGATCACTAGAGTCGAGGCCATTCAAAGTCAGTGCTTTACCATGAATGACCTTTTTTCAGCCTAGGAGGGAGGAACCCTCTTCCCAATACTTCCGGAAGAGTTACTCCCAGGAGAGACACCCCCCCACACACACACACACACCCTAAAGTGAACATTTCCTTCCCCTTCTGGGATGCTGACATTTTGCGGTGAACGCTAGGAATCTAAGGCCCTTTGCCAGTCATCAGGGAAGGCCCTTTCAACGCCAAGAGCCCTCACTAAAGTCTCCACCCGCTGACCCCGGCGCGCCCTGGCTCCCCTTCCCCCACAGCGGCAGACCTTGAGGTCCTGCTCCAGGCTGCGCAACAGCTCGCCATCAATTTCCCCCGTCTGCGCGTAACGGAGCCTTTTGCGCTCGGCTTTGCGGAGGCGGTACTGCAGGATCCGGCAGTTTTTGTTGGCTCTCTCCAGCTCATGGCGCATTTCCTGCAGCTGACAGGCGTCCTCCTCGAAGAAAGTATCTCTCATCTCGTCCATCTCGGTCCTCAGCTCATCGATCTCGTTCTGAGACGGTGACAGGCCATGGGTCACAGTCAGCCTTGCCTCTAGCCCCTCCGACACGCACCGCATACATCCCATGCCTACTCCCAATACCTAGTTTTACTGCCTCCTCCACCAGACAGGAGTGACAGGGAGCTGAAAGCAGAAACTAGAAAACCAGGCCCAGATTAGGCCTTCTTTCATTCTGTTAACTCTAGCTCTCTCTGCCCGTGAGAAAGTGGGGCATATCGTGGTAACTGGAGAAATGAAGGCCTGGGTTTGCATTTAAATGGAACACAACGATATGAATATTAGGTTCCGTTTCAAATTGGGAGCGGGCCATGGACCTCCCCAACCTTCCAAGTTCCCCTCCCTCCCGGTGGCCCTAACAGGTTAGCAGCCTTCCAACCCTGCGGGGACACGCCCTAATCCTTAGAGGCCCCACACTTCCCCTCCCCCCTTCCGTCCCCACCCCCCTCTCCTCCTCACCTTGAGAGTCTCGTTCTCTTCCCGCAGCTTCTCCATCTCCTCCTGCATCTCCTCCTGCTCCTGGAGCTGCGGCGGGTGGGACTGCGACGATGGGGGAGCCGCCGCCTGCATGGCCCCGCCGCTGCCGCTGCTCTCTGCGCTCTGCTGGGGGCCCTCGGCGGCGGCGGCCATTGGGGAGGAGGAGGAGGAGGAGGAGGAGGAGGGGACCACAAGGGGCTCACAGATGGCAGGGGCGCCGGCGACCGGGGAGCTGCGGCTGCCACCGCCACCGTTTTTCGTGTGCATCTGAGCCGCGGCCGCCGCCGCCGCCGCCGCCGCCGCCCGCTCCTTCTTGAGATGGAACTGGATGAGCTCAGACTGCAGACATCCCTCCTTCCAGTAGCTCCCTCCACCTCCGCTGCCGCCCCCTGCGACGCCGCTTCCAGAGTTTCTGCCGCCCGGGCCGGGGGCTCTGCTTGTAGCAGCGGTGGATGGCGCAGGGGAGACCCCCTCCCCGCCGCTGCTACCCCTCTGCGAGGCGCGGACGCCTTTCCCTCGCCAAGCCCTGGGCGGTGGCGGCTGCGGAGCGCCCCCCTCCCGGTCCCCCGGGCCGCCGCCGGCTCCTCCTCCTTCCCCGCCCCCTCCCCCTCCTCCCCCGAGCGGAGGGGGTTCCCCGACTTTCGAGGGCACCGACTCTATCTCCCGGGGTGGGTCCTCGGGCGGCCCGGGCCTCCTGCCGCTCACAGCGGCCAGGATAGCCGCGGGGGGCCCTTCAGCACCAGGCGCGGGCTGGACAGCTCCGGGAGCAGCCCCTTTGGGTACCGCGGGCGTCGCCTTCTCCGCCCCGCCTCCGCATCCTCTAGCGCCGGCCCCAGAGGCGCCGCGACCGGTTATCTTGGTACCCTGCTGTTGCTGCTGCTGCTGCTGCTGCTGCTGCTGCTGCAGCTGCTGCTGCCGAACGGAATTGAGTTTAGTGCCGACCCCAAGCGGGGACCGCGTGGCCGCGGCGGTCTGTCGGAAAGAATTGTCCCTAGGTCTAGCAGGTGACTGAGCTCGCTGCTGTTTTCTGCTGCTGCCCTCCGGGTGCAGGCGACCCTCCGTGGCTGCGGCGGCAGCAGAAGCTGAGGTTGCGGCTGGGGCAGCGCCCCCGGACGGTGGCTGACTCATGGCAGTCTAGGAAGAACCTACCGGATGCGACATGGAACGGTCCATCTCTAGATCATCCTCTTCTCTCCTTTCTGCCACCAACCTTCCTTTCTAAGCTGGGACGGGAATAAAAGAAGAGAAATATACAGTATGTTTACACACTGTTGCAGTGTCAAAGGTGAATTTGCTGGACAAGAGAAGCTACAGAGGATTAGGAGATTTGGAAACCCAGCGTTTAATGGGACCATTGACTAGGAAGAGTGCAGGGCTGTTAGTTCTCACTTTGCCCAAAGTGGCGCTGTTTCCACCTCTCAGTCAAAGGCAGCTGAAGCTTGAATTCCTTAGGTAGCAGGTTTTGGAAAGGGTTAGACATAGGTTCAGCAAGAAATGAATGGGAAAGGAAATGAGGGGCGCGGGGGATAAGGTCCGGAAGAGACTTCTGAAGGCAAAGGAAATGTTTACATATGATAGATATCAAACGGCTTTCTTCAGCATCAAATCTGTGTTTAAAACACAGTTTAGTGGAGAAAACTTTTTTAATTAGTATTCCCAGGTGTCAATTAAAGAAACACGGCTATGATGTAAGATCCTAGAGAATATTTACTGTAGATAAATGACACTTTCCTCATTCAGCTCCAGCCCCTAATGCTGTCTTTAGATAATTATAGCCAACATTCTTAAGAACAGAACACAAAAGAAGACATAAAGAGTGACTATACATCAACCCCAGTCTCAAGAAAAAAAGTGACATCAGGAATTAGCTATAAGATTCAGTCATTGGCAACCCCAAAGAGACTATTTTTGTAGCTTAAAAATACTTGTTGGAAAATTTGATGAGCAGCTCTACCTACAGGCTCTGAAGTTTGTAGTGATGAATTTGTCTACACTCACTTGTTCTCTACTTATAAAGCAGTGAGTTGTAAGTGCAACGTAGAAAACAGTTTCATTCTTAAACATCTCCTTAGGTGGTACATAATAGACTAAAGTTGAAGTTTTAAAATGCCCACTCACGGGCCTGGAGAACGGGCTTAGTAGTTAGTAGCACTGGCTTCTCTTCCAGAGGACCCAAGTTCTATTCCCAGAACTCACAGGGTAGCTCACAACTATACCTGCAGTTCCAAGGATCTGACACTCTCTTCTGGCCTCCCTGTGCACCAGGTCCATATGCGGTACATAAACATACATGCAGGCAAAATACTCATACAGATAAAATTAAATGTTAAAATGCTCACTCACTCCTATGGAGCCAAATTTTTGGAACAAAATAGTCTGCACCCAGAAGGCTGTTCATCTTCCTTTATGGTGGTAAGATACATGGTGTTATCTTCCCACAATAAGCATGCCCCTTTAAGCTGGAAAACAGCAAGTTACTGCCCTGTGAGTTCTCCTTCCTAGTGGCCCAGTCAGCTAGTTCAATTGGCCCCCTTTCCAGGAGAACATTATTTATCTGTAAAGCACAAGAAGGTCATGACTAGACACAAACTTCTCTTACACACACTCACACCTTTTAGGAGAGATGATTCCCCAGGATCTTACTTAGATTATTGCTGTTGTTTTTTGTTGTATCTTAATTGAGGATGTAATCATCTCTCCCTTCATAAAGAAATAATACCCCAATACCCCTTCTCCACCTTCTTTTCTGCCTCTGGAATCTCTTTTTCAACTCACTGTGTAATGCAATGATAAAGACTTCTTCAGAGGGGAAAACAAAGTTACCCACTGCTAGAATGTCTGGCCTACTTTACCATGGGTCAGAATAATGTGGGCCATCCAACTTAATTACACTGGCAACACAAAGTTATATTTAACTAAGCAGAACCACACAGGAGCTGAGAAGCCAGGAACTGAAGCCTGACCCCCCCACCCCCCGACTACTTTAACCTCAGAGAAAACTTGGGTTTCAGGAACTAACTCCACAATCTAAGGCATCTAGCTAGCAGCCTATATCCCAAGCCTTTCATCAGTGGAAATCGCCATCCAAGCAATTTCAGTAAGGACCAAATCAAGCCTTTTCATCTCAAATCCTATCTGTCCCAGGACCCACCCCGTTTCTCATCCTTTTCTCTTTAGAAATCCAGAAGTTCTCACTTCTCTGCAGAGGCGCTGCTTCCAGGAAGTTGATGCAAATCAACACTGCTTTCTTCCTGATATTTTGGAGTCCTCAGGGTTTATCTTTCAGGGAGAGTTCAACTTCATAGTGTTGACTTTCTTGCTGAGCAGGCTTGCTTGCACCGGATCCACACCCACTCTGGTTCTCCAAACAAAGGCGGTAACCACAAAGACTCGGAACTCTGGGAGCCGGTTCCTAGCTGGCGATGCTTGGCTGGGCTGGAACTGCAACTGCATCAGGCCAATGCCCGGGTACCAAGCCGTGCCAGACGATCCCCAGGAAGTGCAGGGGTATTCATGAGCTGACCTCACCGGACTGGGCTGGAAAGAGGGCGGGATTGGAGGGAGGACAGGTGAGAAGTAACCGGAGTGGTTACTGAAAGAAGAGAGAGAAGGTGAGGATGGGGAACCGGGGTAGCGGGTGGGAGGCAAGTAGACAAAAAGGCCAGAGCCACGCCCGAGATGGAGAATTGTCAGCCTGGCTCATCAAAATCCTTGCTCCACTCCCATTTCCTGGACTTGGCAGAAGACTCCGAAACCGCTTAAAATCGGATGTATTGGTTTCCTGCAATGCTTTGTCTCGGGTCCGATCAATCTCCATCAATTATTTACTTGAGCTCTTTTCCTTGGGAGGCCCGCTGGAGCAGCCTGCACCCTCGGCTTGACCCTCTGGAGTCTCCTGATGCAGCTGAGAGGCGCTGGCGCACGCTGGCTGCCGGGAGTTCTCTTTGTTCACTCACTTTAATTCTCAGTCGATCTCTCCGCGCTTCTTCCCCACCCCCAGCTCTCGGGCGGAGTCCTGGGATGGCATTTCCGCGAATAGACAATGGTTGTCAGACCCGCCGTCCCACAAACAAAGGGTTCTTGCAAAGATACGAAGGAACGGTTTAATTTAGTGCAAAGCGAGTATGTTTGCTGATGACGGTGAAGTAGCACCGAGCACGTTCGCCCTCCCCTCACCAAAGGCCAGTTTCTTCAGTGAAAACAAACTGGGAGTTTCTGGGATCCACATTTTTTTTTTTAACTGTTGTGCACTTGAGTAATAGGAGTCAGGAAGAATGTATTTATAAAGTATCAGCTGACCAGGGAGTTAAGAAAAATGTGTTTCAAATTTACGTTTATCCATATTGTTCCACAGTAATAGTATTCTTAAAATTTGAGGGAAATTTTCTCCTTTTCCTTCTAATTTTATTTTAGAGAGCAGGCTCCAGAGCCTCCTTCCTGTCCCTAAAAATCCCCTTGCAAGCTTCCAGGTAAGAATATATTAATCTTGTATTAAAAGGACATTTTTAGGCGTTAAACCTCTCTTACATCGTTGTGGTGGTTTTGTGCGAGCTAAGACTTAGATATTTTACAACGTGTCTAGCCTAGTGTTAATTTAGCAGGAGACTTTGTAAGTATAAATCCTGTCTTAAGAGTGAAATGACAATGATTGGAGAGTAATTTGCACAGGAGCAGTTTGTCACAGTGAAATGAAAGCATATTTAGGCCTAGGTAATTTATATCTCCAATGACATCAAATATGGTATCACAAGGAAATCATTTCAGGCTGTAAAACAGATGCTATGAACTGGTTTGTGGCCAGTACTGTCCAAGGTGCTGGCGATGTAAAGAAAGTCAAGAAATCGTCCCTGTGCCGAGAAGGCTTAAATGTATTAGAGAAAGTTGAGATAACTGAGATACTGTTCTTATTCTTGAATATGGAGAAACTGGAAAAGCAAATCCTGTGATATCTATGATGAGACGTCCAATCGTTGATTTGCATAGCAAAATAGAGTCATAAGTTATTTTGAGTTTGTGTTAAACACTTCTTCATTATGTACCCCAATATAAATTGCAGTACTCTTTTTTGTGTGTCTTTCTTTGTTTTTGAGACAGGTCTCAGTATATATTCCTGGGTGGCCTGGAGCTCATTATGTACACCAGGCTGGCCTCAAACATATCTGCCTCCTGAGCACTGGAATTGAACTTGTGGGGCACCAGGCCCAGCCCTCTAAATTGCAACATTCTTTTTTTTTTTTCTTTTTTTTTTTTTTTTACGAGACAGGGTTTCTCTGTGCAGTTTTGGTGCCTATCTTGGATCTCACTCTGTAGACCAGGTTGGCCACGAACTCATAGAGATTCACCTGGCTCTGGATTGTTGAGATCAAAGGTGTGTGCTACCACCGACCGGCCGGCAACATTCTTAAGAGATGGCAAGATCCACATTTCCCACTTAATGAATACTACAATAATGGGTAAAATACCTCTTAGGTCAATCTTTATAAATAAAACCTTGATATAAAAATAATCTAGGGACACAAAACACAGTTCTGCTTGTCTGAAAACTAGTGATCAGCTTAGACATCTCCATTTCAGTATTTATTTCCATGCAACCAGTAACTTGTATTTGGTTAAAGTCTAATAAAATCAATAATGCTTACATCAGAGTTCATGTGCCCAAAAGGTTCGTTTTGTACATTAGGCATGTACAGTCTCAGTGTTGAAAACCATAGCCATATAGGATGCATAGAAACAATATTGACATGCCTTTACATAAAAAGGTTTTAAATAGAATTGTATTTTGGTTATCCCCTTATTTCTTTGTGAAAATTACACTTCTTCATGGGGCTTGAGAGAAGACAGAGTTGTTGAGGTCACTTGCTGTTCTCATAGAGGACCAAAATTTAGTTCCTGATGCCCACATCATGTGGCAGTTCACAACTGGCTGTAAATACAGTGGCAGGGGATTGGATGGCCTCTTCTGATCATACTACACACATGGCACCCATACATGTATGTAGGCAATACTCATACACACACACAAAAAAAAACCAGGTATTTGAAAAAATTAAACTTCTTCAATTAAGCAAATGCAGATTTCTTCAGAGTTCAGAAGGCTTTGTCGTTATTTTTGCTGTTTCAGAAGCAGACTTACTGACTGACCTTTTATTGTTTACTTGTAATAATGAATCATATTTTCTATAGCACAGCAAGATAATGGATCTTCAGTCTAGGGAAGAAAGTTAACCTTTTAACTCTGAAACCCTTAAAAACATAGTTTACTATACGAATCTTCAATTTTTGTGACTTTAATGAGGCCCACGTATGTTAATACTGACTAGCTTTATTTTTTACCCTTAGTTGGTCAAACCTTTTCACTTTGTAAACTCAAGTCCCCCCAAAGAAAAGTTTGCCTTCCTCAGGTATAACACAGTAGCATACCTATAGCCCAGAGAAGTTAAATGATTTTCTCAACTTCATAATCAGAACTCAAAAGTTCCATCTTTCATTATCAAGTATGCTTCTTATTTGTCTCAAACATCCTGCTTGAAATGATCACAACTTAGAAATCTACATGTCTAAGGCTGATTTATCCCCATCTCAGCTCAATCTGTCTACCTATGCATAAACTATCTATGTTTGTGGGCAAAGCTATTAATTTACATTCTATGTGAAAATTTTCTGTCCTACCATTCTATTCTACTTTTAGTCCAGAAAAAAATCTAATATTCTTTATTTACTTTCATCTTAATGAAGATACTATTTTATATATTTTCTCAATGAACACTGTTATTTTCCTTTGTTTCAATATCCACTTTTTTGGTCTTTAATCCCAGCACTCGGGAGGCAGAGCCAGGCGGATCTCTGTGAGTTCGAGGCCAGCCTGGGCTACCAAGTGAGTTCCAGGAAAGGCGCAAAGCTACACGGAGAATCCCTGCCTCGAAAACCAAAAAAAACCAAAAAACAAAGCAAAATACTTTTTTGGTGTGTGTGGTTCTGGGGATCAACATTAGGGCCTTGTGCATGCCAGCCCTTAATTCTACAATGCGCTGAATCTGCAGCTATTCTTGTAAAAGCTTAGTACTTACCCTTTATTCTTTCTTTTATAATTGCCATCAAACTCCAGCCATTCACAATTCTGTTTAGACTTTTACAAATACTTCTTGTAAGTTATAGATGCTCAAGCTGTGTATGGTAGTTCACACATGTAATTCCATTGAGGAAAAAGGAATGGCATTATTTCAAAGCTAGCCTGGGCTATATAATGATTTCTAGTCAATCATGGGAGGCAGTGTGAAACCTTATCTTTAAAAACACACTACACACACACACACACACACACACACACACACACACACCAAGAAACAGCAATAAAATGATATACTCAATACTTCTAATTTCCATTTTATTAATTTTGGTCTTTATGTCACCAGAGATAGTTATATTCAAACTGAATTTCAAGGAAGTACATCAACCTTATCTGTACCAAAAAGTACTTCCTAGTCGGTTACAGCAATGCTCCCATTCTACTAAAATTTAGTTTCTTCCTTTAATGATACAAAGTTGTGCAGTGATATTTTATTTGTGCTGAAATGTGATATTTTATTTGTATGTTAATAAATAAAGTTTACCTGGAGATCAGAGGTCATAGCGAGCAATAAACAGAAGTCAGGGGGTGGTGGCACACGCCCTTAATCTGATTACATGGCAGGCAGAATCTCTGTGTGTTCAAGGACACAGCCAAGCGTGGTGACATATGCCTTTAATCCCAATACCAAACATAGAGACCTGGAGGTCTGTATAGACAGACAGTGATGAGGAAGTGATGTGCCTGGGCTTAGAGCCAATGAGAAGGCAGAACAGGAAATCAATAAAGGTGCAGGTTAGACAAGAAGAAGCTCTCTTGGGAAGCTGCGGCAAGGTGGTGAGCTAAGGTTAGTTGGTGGCTATTGCTCTGATCTCTATGGCTATTTGGCTCTGTGTTTCTTATTTAACAAGGCTGTTTAGAAATTCATCTACAAAGTTGGGGTTTATTAAGAAAACTATTTTAATACTGTTATGAATATGGAAAGAGAAGAAGAGAAGGAAAGAGAAAAAGAAGAGAACAGAGAAAGCTATGTACATGTAAGGAATGAGTAGGATTTTCAAGAGAGACAAGAGACAAGTAGTGTTTTGTTGGCTTTTTTTTAATTAAGAAAATTTTTCATTCATTTTAAACACTAATCAAAGATCTCCCTCTTCCTTCCACCCCCCCTTGCTTCCCCCCTAATTCCCCCCCCCAAAAGGCAAAGCCTCCCATGGGGAGGAACATCCAGTAGAGGCAAGTCCAAGCCCTTTCTCCTGTCTCAAGGCTTCACTGGGTGTCCCATCATAGGTAGTGGGCTCCAAAATGCCCCCTTATGCACCATGGATGGATTCTGATTCTACTGCCAGGGGGCCACCCAAGCAGATCAAGCTTCATAACTGTCTCACCATGCAGAGGGCCCAGTCCAATCTTTTAATTAAGTAGAAACTATTATTGTATACTTATCATTATTTAAAGGACCTTCTTTAGTAAATGAGAATATAAATTTCTTGGGTTTTTTTGTTTGTTTGTTTGTTTGTTTTTGTCAGGGTCTCACACTATACTCTAGATTGATTAGAACTCATTATAGGCCAGGCTGGCCACCAACTTACAGAGATTCTCCTGCCTCAGTATCTTCACCTGGATATGTGTTTATGAATACATTGTTTAAGTGTACAGGCTGAAGAGGCAAAAATAGTTTTAAAGGAGTCAAAGGAATTCTTACTATTTACAAACCAGGAGGTGGTCAGGGAACCATTTCTGAGTGTGAACATAGCTCCGAATATTGCTTGTGAGATTTTTCTCAAAAACTCACAAGTTTACAGATGAGTAAAAAAATATGGGCAAATGCAAAGATCATGTGCAATTTAGCCATCAGCAAAATTCATTTTAGCATGGTTCATTAGTTGTTTTAATGTCCTTTTTAAACTGTCTTTTTACAAGGAGAGGTGTAGAATACTGTTTCTGGGCAGGCAATCTTCACAATGTTGTTGATGTTGTTAAATGCCTCAAAGTTCTTGACACTCAACCTATGAGACATAAACATGATCCCAGAAGTGAGAGTTTCCTTTCCTTTCACAGACTCCCTTTATCTTCTTGGTCTTTCAATCCTGCCAGCCTTTGAGGATTGGTGATGTTGGTAGAAGTCCCAACATCTGAAGGTTCAACACTGTTAAACAGAACTTTATGCCTTATCTGTCCAGAGATGGAAGCCTTGGTCTCTCCTAAGGGGGAACATGAGAAGGTCTTAGTTTCAAGACTGGAGGGTGTTATTTGATGCCAATCTCAAAGAAAATATGGCCTTACTTTAGACACCAAACTGCATAAACTAGGATATAGCAGATTTGGTCTGCCCAACCCTGAAGTTAGCATCAAGAACATTTTTCCACCACGATGTGCCTGATAACCATGATTTTACCAAGTCATTCACTTTTACTGCAGACTCTGGCACAGATACAATTTTGTTTTACAAACTTAGAAGATTGAAGAATACATTGGCCAGTTGTTAAGTATGTGTACAAGGCATTCCACTTCAATAATGGCAAATTGTTCTTCTGTCAAAATGCCAAGAGATATCTTTGTAGTATGCCTGTGCTCATCATCTTTACCTTTGAAGTTAAGAGTGAGATCCTTTGGGTAGTTCTGAGTCAGAGAATTCAAGACAGGATTCCTATGAAGAATGCTAGCAAGAGAATTGGATACAGTTCAACACGAGCAGTTACATATTGACCATCCACAATCTTTCCAGAGACAGGCTACCCCAGTGAAGCGGAGGTCTTGATGCATGGTATAGAAAGAAATTTCATAGCAAAGTTGGAAGTCATTAAAAAAAGATTTTAATATAAATTTAAGCATGGGAGGTGGGGAAGAAGAGATTGTCAAGAGAATGGACCACTGTTTCTTTTAGACATAGCGCACAGATTCTTCCTGCTTTTGTATCCTCTTTCTTGTCATTCCCTGTGGTCATCAACTTCCTCCTTTGTTGTCCCAATTTTGCTCATGTTTTAAAGTTTGGCTCAAATTTAATTTTTTTTGTAATATGTATTTAGTCTGTTGTGATAGCTGATCTTGGATGTCACCTGGGCTGGATCTGAGATCA